AAGAAAATTCACTTAGTGACTAACTCCAGAGAAAATTCACGTAGTGACCAACTACAGATAAAATTCACACATTGGCAACATCTAGAAAAAATTCACTAAGTGATAATATCCAGAGAAAATTCACTTAGTGACCAACTACAGATAAAATTCACACAATGACAACATCTAGAGAAAATTCACACACTGACAAAAATCCAGAGAAAATTCACACAGTGGCCATAACTAGAGAAAATTCACACAGTGGCCAAAATCAGAGAAAAATCACATTCACTCAGTTCCTACATATATAGAAAATTCACATACTTAGATAAAATAAGATATATTTACAATTACATTCATTCCCATCTTTCTCTGTCGCAGCAAGCATAACTCCTTTGTATCGTCCTTTAAAAAATGTTCCATCAAGAAACAACAATGACCGACAATATTTTGAACCAACAATGCATGCATGAAAAGAACCCAAACACTCTTTTGAAACGCTTGTTATCTTCAAAATCTAACTCAAAACAACTATCTAGATTGTTCTTCAATGCCTCATGAAAATACCACCGTAATTGATCGAATGATAAACAAGAATCCCCATATGTACATTTTGCTTTTTCAACCCCCAACCAACCACAGTTATAACTGATTGAGACCCCATACTTATCTTTCATTTCTTTGATAACATCTACTGGACGAGTTAAAGGTTTTGCACTTATTTTTTCAAGTATCAACCCGGAAACTCAGCTGGAAGTCATCCTAGCATGTTTACTACTACGAACCGCCACACCACACGTATGTTCATTGTTCAAAGTTCTTATGTAAAAGAACCCATTTGTTTTTTCAACTGAAGCGTGTACACGCCACATACATTCCCTTGATTCCTTATATGCACATTTTGCCGTAACCCTCAGCTTGTCATTTTTAACATACATAACCTGAAAACCAACCTCAATGGCATACTTGCATAAAATAGTACGCAACTCAACCACACCACCCTCAAACTTTTGTCTAACACTCGTAATATTATTTTGTCAACCAGCTGACAATAACACTTTTTCTTGGTGAGAACAAAACTTAGAGGGTGAATTTCTTACAATATCTATCAGTCTATCACATTCACCATGCACAAAATCTACCTAATTAGATTCCACTTCATCCTCTTGATCAGAAGTACTACACCTAGTAACTGAAACATCAACTATATCAACACCACGTGCACAAACAACCCTCAACATATTCAGAAAATCAATATTATTTCGAACCATATAATTCGGATTGCCCACAATAGAATATGAAATGCACATCGTCTCAGGTTTCAAATTCTCTCATGTTTTACACAAAGTGCTAACCAATTCCTCAAAATTCAATTCGCATGAAACATTAATGACAATAGTATCATTCCCATATTTGCACAGCAACAACGCTGCACTGTCCATCGAAACTGAAAGAAAAAATAAAAAAAAAATAATTTGTTCAACATAAAAACACTTCACAAGAGCAACATAAAAGTCCAGAAAAATTTCTAATAATTATAATTTTCTCTGGGCTCAAATAAAAGTTCAGAGACATTTACAAACTTATATTCACCTTCAAGATAACAAAAACAAAATCACAAAAAAATTAATGAATCCATAGAGAATCACAAAGAAAATTACTGCTAACTATTAAACACAATCATAGACAAAAATCACACAGAAGATCTGTTATGAAATTATAAGCTTTTCTGTGATTTTCACTAAACTACAAGCTTACTATTTTCTCTGCGTTATTCTACAGTATTGCACTCATATCATAATTCAGAGAAATTTACAAACTCATATACACCTTCAAGATAACAAAAAACACTACACTGTCTATCTAAACTGAAAGAAAAAACACAAAAAATAACTTTTGTTTAGAGAAACAAAAACTTATATTCACTTTCTACAAACTTATAATTTTCTCTGAATTACAAACTGAAAGTGAATAGCAAACTTATAATTTTCTCTGAACTACAAACAAAAGTCTAGAGAAATTTAAGAACTTACATTCACTTTCTCAGATCCTATCTGCATTAGAAACTTCTAATAATATGTCCATATGAACTTATAATTTTCTCAGTGATTTTGGATTATAATAACAAACTTACAATTTTCTCTGGACTATACCAACAAAAGTGCAGATAATGAAATTTCTCTGGTTTGAAAATATAGAGAACAAAACTTATCATTGATCAGCATGTTGATGAAAAACAGAGTACGAAAAATGAACTTTAAAGATCAAAATCAACTACGTTGTCAACACTCTTTGAAATTGATAAAAAAGCAGAGAATGAAAAATTAATTCCAAAAATAAAAATCAACTCTATCAAGCTGGCCTCTGTCTAAAATTGATCAATAATAGAGGATGAAAAATTAACTCCAAAAATCATAAACAACTTCACTAAGCTAGCATCTTTTTTAAATTGATCAAAACTGAAAATAAAAACCTAATGCAAAAATATACTCGAAAAACTAATATGAAACCAGAATCCTTACATAAAATTCAAAACAAAAATCAAAATCCACGTGGAATCTCCATCGAAAACATGCTTGATTCAACTCCATTGAAAAACCTACGTGATCAACACATCGTAACACTTACACGATCATAGCAATCTCTATCGTCAAGTCCACTACAACACTTGCAAAATCCCTATGAAATCTTTACTGCGAAGTCAGTTTCCAAAATCTCCACCGTGAAGTCAGCAATAGAATATTCAGTTTACCAAAATCCAAACAAACTTGTGTTATAAAGAAAGGTAAATTAGGTGTTTTATAACATAAAATAAGGTTGAGGGACCTTAGCCATCAAAACATATTATTGTGGACTTTTTCTCCTATCAAAAGTTGGGGAGGGATCTTAAACTAATTTTCTTTTTTTTTTAGTATGGATTTTCTAACACTTAAAATTAGAAAATAAAAAATAACAAAAACAAATTTATTTAAACCAATATGTATAGCTTTTGTTCGATAATGAGTTGAAATAAAGTTAATAAGCCTCCGTTTGGGAAGTGAGTTGGCTTTTTGGCTTTTTGACTATTTTAGCATGGGGTTAAAAAGCCTGAGTTGGGAATGGTTTTTTGATTTTTTTGACTTTTTGGTGAGGTGTGTTTATAGTAAATTACCAAACTGCCCTTGACACATGATTCTCATGGCAACTCACACTCAAATGGTCCTCCACGCCAGCGCCATGTACAGGACCGAAATTGTTTGATTTTTTATTTATTTATTTTTTTTTGGGGTTTGGATTTGGCATATTTTCCTTTAATTTTTTTAATTTTTTATTTTGGGTTTGGATTTGTCGTGTTTTGCTTAATTTTTATTTTTTTATTTTTGGTTTGGATTTCGCGTATTTTACTTTAATTTTTTATTATTTTTATTTTGGGTTTGGATTTGGCGTATTTTTTTTATCTTTTTTATTTTTATTGGTATACAATAATTTTTTTTTTTATTTTCAAAAATGAGTTTTCATCTGTTTTATTTATTTTTAAATTACGTCGCGAATGGTAATTTATGTTTTTATGTTTTTTTTTTAAATATTTTTTAATGAGGCGTATTTTTCTTGTTATTTTTTTTAATTTGCGTTTTTGTCATTTTTTAAAAATATTTTTATAAAATAGAGTTTGAATTTATTTTTATAAAATATTTTAACAAAAAACAAAAAAAATGTTTTTAATTTTTTTTTTCAACTTTCTTTGTTTTTTGTGGGAAAGATGTTTTTTGGAAAATGGTTTCTTTTTTTACTTTGAATATTTCTGACGCTGAGGCTAAATTAGCCCCTCTTTCATGTGGGGGTAGTTTAGTAAATTTACCTGTGAAATGGTGTTGCCAAGCTCCTGCCATGCTTTTGTCTCCATGTGGCTGAATTTGCCGCTTTTGTCCGTATGTAGCTAATTTAGGCTCAAACTACCTTCCAAACACAGGCTATTTAGAATCCTTAATATAACTCTAAAAAAAAAATTAAAATAAATAAATAAATACAAAAAAAAAAAAAAATGGAAATAGGGACAAGGGTAAATAATTGGGAAATTCTATTTTCACATACCACATTATCTCTGTGCACATCTTTTATCACTTTACTCAATTGGTAATTTGATTTTTAGGTATTTATCTCAGTTCACACACCCCACATTCCAAATATACCCATTTAATAAAAAATGTGTACACACTCTTATTTTCTCTATCTTCCAAACTCTCACCCTAGCCAAGAACCACCTCGTGGGCACTAATTTACTAAATTAAGTTACATATTTCTTTCTACTTACTTTAAGCATGCCAGTAGATCACTAAAGAAAAGTCATATCTACACTGTTTTATCAAGAAACAAAGTGCTTTTCCTTCTTTTGAACTAACAATGTCCATGTGATTTCTTCACATAGCCAACAGTCAATACCACATCTCATGCTCCCTTTTTATGCTTATCAATTACCAATCCTTCCATGTGATAATCCAAAATATTGTTTGGCAGACGGTACATAGAATTACAAAGACATATTACGTTAAATATAAAATAGATCCCATAATATTTTCTTAGACTTCTAAAATGTTTCACAAATAATTGGTTTTATAACTCTATTATTTTCTTATCTTCTATATTTTTAATTATTGTCAATGGCTACTGGTAGTAGGCAGTGGCTAGGGTTTTGATTGAGGGTTAGGGTTTTAATTGAAGGAGAAAGAGATATTTTAGTAATTTCGTTTAAGACAAAAATGTAATAATTTTTTTTTTCATTAAGTAGGTTGATAGAGAATAACTGGCGTGTGAAAATTTCTCTAAATAATTAGAGGAAGCAAACAAAAGGACCCTGATGAGCAGTTTTTACAATTTATTGAGGAGTGGTTTGAGATGATCTAAATAAGTGTACTTTTTGACTTTTTATGAAATATGAGTTGGGTATAAGTTGAATTTAAAGTGATATAATAAAGAAGTGATATGACTTAAATAAAATGATGTGATTTAAATAAAACACTTTTTACTTTTTTTAGTGTACCAAATAAGTCTTAATTTACAATCCTCACTCTTTCTCATCCTCTTCTCGCCATAAATTCCAGTGAATTCACATCCCATGATGATGACTCCATTGCAGTAGTAGTTTTGGTAGACTGCAATCCGTCGTCGTTTCTCAATTCCTCCCCTGCAATCCAATATCAGCCTCACGGTCGCCCCAGAAACCTCACGGCACCTCCCACGGTCCTCTCTCTATGGTCTGTTTTCGTGCCCTACTTTTATCGGATATATGTATGTGTGTGTGTATGTGTAATTATACAATTTTTATTTTAGTTATAGTCTTAGATGAATTACGTAATTGTTGATTGATGTCATGTTAATTTATTTTTCTGGGTTTTGATTTTTGCAGACTATGGATCGAACAAGGTGGCTAAAGGTGGCAATTTTGATCAGTTTGTTAACTATTTGTGGTGGCAGAGGTAACTTGTGAATCGCATTTATCACGTTGGTCCAACTTTTCTATAGTTTATGCAATCATGGTTTTGAATAACTGTGAATTGTGGCTTCATTAGTGTTATGCATTCAATTAATTAGAGCATCTCCAACCCTTCATCTTTTTTCTTTTTTTTTTTCTTCATCAAATTTGTCAAAGAATTTACACCAAAAGCTTGATTTGATATAGCTAACTCCAATTGTCAAAATTAAAATTTTCATCAAATATTTAAAAAAATACCCAACTTACCCCAAAAAACCCTCCTTTATTCGGGTTAAAAAAACCCATCTCTAATCCTTCATCTTTTAACGATTTCATCAAACTTAAGTGAAAAATGGGTTATTAGAAATTTGGTGAAAGATATGATTTATACTTGATTTGATACATATTTGATGAAAGGATTTGGTGAAGGATTGAAGATGCTTTAAGGGTGCATTTGACTAGTGAGGTTTGGGGTTCCATTCTTAGGGTTTGTGAGGGTTAAAAGAAAAAAAGAGTAACAAGTATGGATGAGATAATCGACTAGGAACGGTGGGACATTCTGTAAAGATGGTACACAGTGGGACGGCTTGAAATCACTGGAGGTGGAAGAGGTGAGAGTTGTTGATGCTATCTTAGCAGAAAGGGGATTGCACAGATGGAGAAGGTGGTGATAACTTGAACATGTAAAGCAGTACAAAGATGGGCTTTATTTTGTAGTGCTAAAATATAAAGCAATTTCTTTCTGAGTAAGTCTTTTACTGCAGAACTCAAGCTCAAGCACAAGGGTCATTTGGCTGTTTACAACCACACGCTTGCAACAATATTAGTGGAGTATGCTTCTGCTGTAAGTTCTGAATCAAATTATTATTGTTATTTATTTTACATAATGGGGACATGGACTTCAGGTTTAATTTCATTGCAAATCTTTCATCCCCTCCATCTTCATGTGAATCTGTAGTCAGCACAACGTAGGGTTTTGATTATCTGTGCATTAAAGTATTGTGAAGTGCTCATTAAGTCAGGAAGCTTAGCAAGTCAGTCTAGTTAATCAGCACGTCTTAAGCAAACACATGTTGAGAATGTTTATATCCCAATTTTGTCTCATCCGCTCTCTCTTTCTCTTTCCAAGTTCATTGGAAGCAAGGCAATCATGTCATTACTTGAACAGATACTTGCAAGATGTCATGAAATAGCTTTGTTTGCAAGGTGTTGGAAATTCACTTGAGGGAGAATTTATCTGGGATGATTCTAGCTAACTGAATTTGATCATAATGCTTTTTTGGGTGTGGTTTTGTACTTGGGAGTTACATCTTCTTGTTATGGAATTAGACTAAAATAAACATAGGAACCTGGAAGAATCATACTTTTTTCTTTAATATAAAAATCAATTAGAAAAAGATGTATTTGTTGTTTTTTAATTTTGATTTGTAGTTAAATTCAACCAAAATGTCATTAATCAATCTAGTTGACATTTGTTAACATATTACTGTGTAAGACTTCAAATTATAGTTACTGGAGACCTGTAATGTTCACTATGTTGTTTGCTCTTGTTTTGTTATGTTATTCATTTTTTTAACTAGTTGACCTAGTTTTTTGAGATTCCACTCTGTATATCTAAGTAGGGGTGCAACTTGGGCGGGTTCGGTCGGGTTGGGAGGTTGTCCAAGCCCAGCCCAGCCCAAGTTGTGCTGAGACTTGCCCAGGCCCGAATTGTAACCCGAGGTTGCCTGCTCAAGTCCAATCCGAGTTCAACCCGAATTGTAAATGAATTTCAAAATTTTTTTTTTTTGCAGCTACATCATTAAATTATTAAAATTTGACTTTATTTACATTTTTTTTATTTATAGAAAATCATTAATACTATCAAAACAAATAATTTATATAACGTAAGAGGGATGTCGCTACAGTAGTCCTCACACAATTTATGAGTGAAAATAAAAAAAAAGTAAGATTTTATATTATTTGTATATAATAATTATGTTCAATATGATTTAATAATTTAAATTACTTTAATATCTTGTAATGGCTGATAATTTATATGTATATTTAATATTTTTATATATCTATATATGTATAATTCAGTTTTCAGGTTGCTCGAGTTGTTTGACGTCCTTGTCCGAGCCTGCTCAAATTTAATTCGGGCTTCTCAATTTTTGCTTAAGCCCATACCGAATTTGAAAATATCTTGTTCAAGCCTTAAAAAAAATCGGACTGGGTTCGGGTTGCTTGGGTTGAGCCTGCCCAAGTTGCACCCCTATATCTAAGCTCCTTCGCTCTCAAAAACTTTGACTGAAGTTGTTGATTAGTTTCTTTTGTATTGAAACGGTACAAAAATTGAATGTTGATTAAGATTATTTCATGTGGCTGTACTTTGCAATCATGTGCTTGATTCCAGTAATGTGGACAAGGATAACTCGCTAATATTTACACTTGCAGGTGTACATGTCAGATTTGACAGAACTGTTTACTTGGACATGCTCAAGGTGTGATGATCTGACTGAGGTATGATTTCTATTGACATCACTTTTTTCTCTAATTGAAAGAATAACCTTTTTTAGCAATAAGATGTTTCGTTGTTGCTGCTTTTGATTCTTGGTTATTGTCAGTGATGGTTTCTTCTTGTTCGAAGCAGGGATTTGAAGTGATAGATATAATTTTTGATGTCAAGCACTGCTTACAGGTGCAATTTTCATAGCATATATGCTAAAGAAGAGCAATTTTTCTTTGGCAAGATTCATTTACATCATACTTGACTTGTAGTTCTTTGTGCTATAAATCTTGACAATAATTATGAATATGCATTGCAGGGATTTGTTGGGATGGCTAAGGATCTTAACGCTATTGTGATTGCTTTCAGAGGCACTCAGGAACGCAGGTTTGAAGACGCTTGCAGCCTTAAATTATTATTTTTTTTGCTATCTCTTTGGAGCAATGTTTTCAATAAAGCATTCACCATTCAGATCTCCAGTTAACTACTTCTTGTTCTATTACCAATTATGAGTCCTTCAAGTCTGATTATTCTTGCTCATGTCTTTCATGCATTATTCTGATCTTGGTGGATTGGATTGTGTAATGTGTCTCATTAAGTTGTTATAAATGTTGATTACATGTCCTAATGTCTCAAGAGAGAGATTTTAATGTTTCAAGATACAAAAAGCGATGTTAGTTTTACTTTATTACGGAAATCTTCTTCTTGCCATCAATGGCCATTTGTTCATTACTGTTTAATGAATGAACAACAATGTGTACAGCTTACAGAATTGGATTGAAGACCTGTACTGGAAGCAACTCGACTTAAATTACCCTGGCATGCCTGATGCAATGGTGTGTTGCAATAACCTTTGACCAGATACATGAATAAAAGTTTCTTTTTCTTTTTATTAAAAAAAGAAAAAGAAAAATGGTGGGTCAGTACCATTGTTTTTTAATGTCATTTGTGTTTTTTCAGGTGCATCATGGATTTTATTTTGCTTACCACAACACAACTGTACGTTCTGGTGTTGTAAATGCTGTTAAAAGAGCGAAGCAATTGTATGGGGACATTGATATTATGGTTACAGGTCATTCAATGGGAGGGGCTATGGCCGTCTTTTGCGGACTGGATCTCAAGGTAATCATAATGAAGCCTTCTTGATCAGTATGATACACAAACAAAATTTATGTACAGAATTTTCATACAGAATGATGTGGCATCGTGTGTGGTTTCTTCGTTTACAAAGAAAACACCCACCATTGTCCTCATAATTTCACAAATGCCACTGCGATGTCATTATGTTGTTTTGAATTCTGCACAAAAAATCTACAAGCAGATCATTTTTCCTTCTTGATTAGTTTAAAGTTCAGATTTATATTATGTTTATGTTGTTGATCCACATGATTTATCAAGTACTGGCTTCCAGTATGTTATCATTATTATTTTTGTTATAATACCAGCTTATTCCCAGGTCAATCATGAAGCCCGGAATGTTCAGGTTATGACATTTGGACAACCTCGTATTGGTAATGCTGCTTTTGCGTCATACTATAGCCAACTTGTGCCAAATACTATTCGGGTCACAAATGACCATGATATTGTCCCTCATTTGCCATCTTACTATCCGCATTTCGCACAAAAGACATACCATCACTTTCCCAGAGAGGTAATCTTTAGCAACCCAAATTGACTTTGGTATGATTCTGCTAAAACCTTTCCTATATATGACTCTGGTAGTGAGACTATTGGAATCGATAAATGTTATTTCGATAGCTTTTGGTCAAATAGCATGTGAGGTTTTCCTTAACTTCATGTGAGGTGATTCAAAGATAGAAATGCAATTCAATAATTTTAAAAATATTCACAATTAGGTTGAATATTGTGAACAAATTATATATTATTCCCCAAACAACTATTAACAATTTTTCGGAGGCAATTCCTTAACACTCTCTCCCTTCCCCTAACATGCATTGCCTTTTATAAGTCATTTAGTCTGAATAAATTATGTCCGAATTAGGTCAGTGGCATTTTACCTTTTTTTTATATTATGGTTAATTAGTTCAAAGTTCAAACAATCCCTAACATCCAGAATTTTCATACAGATTGTATGGCTTCTTGTGATTCTTTTATTTCAAATCAAAACACCCACTATGTTGGTTTATAATTTCATAAATGGCATTACCACATCATTCTGGATGACTTTTTTTTTTTTTCATCATATGAAAATTATGTTCGTAAATCATTTTCCATTTTCAGTATTTCTTATGGTTTTATGATCCAAAAAAATGGTGGTTATGAGTTGAAAATGATTCTGGCCAAGCTCTTTGAAACCTAAAAGGAGAGACGTGAAGTTGAAAAGCATAACATTTAACAAACTAATGTTAACAGTTGTCATGGACATCATATTCTTTTGTCTATTTGTATAGCTCACTTCTGCTTTAAACTTTTATAAACCAAACAAGCTCTTTTTCTAAACTGCAGGTGTGGATTCATCAAATTGGATTTGGTACTTTAGTTTATAAAGTTGAGAAGGTCTGTGATGGTTCTGGCGAAGACCCATCTTGTAGTAGGTATGTGTTCGCTTTCTATGATCTTCCTATTAACATTCTTGAAATGGATATTTGTAAAAAATATATTGATATAGAGAAAGGAGAGAATAAATTGTATGTATTATTGATTGATATATATTGATGTACATTACAATGATTCATGATTCCTATATATAGAAGAGGGTGAGTGTGTAGTAGGTAAGGAGTAGGTGAAGTGGAGGTGGTAGTGGTGTAGTGGGTTAGGTTTAGTGGAGTAGGTGAGGTGGTAGTGGTGTAGTGGGTTAGGTTTAGTAGAGTAGGTTTAAGTGGGTGAATGTTTAGTGGAGTAGGTAGATTTTAACAATATTATGTTTACAATTATTGGATTTATCAAAATACAAAGCCAAACCTTAATTCAAATTGTTAAAGATTGTATTTATATGCTATGTGAGGTGCTAATAAAGAACTCTGATGTTGCTGCTAAAGCCTTTTTAATTTTGAAAATTTGTGCAGGTCAGTGGTTGGGAAAAGCATTTCGGACCATTTAGAATATTACGGTGTTCAGATGAGCGGCGAGAGCACATGCAGAATTGCAATGGATCCTCGGGTGGCCTCATATAGCACACAAGATCTTGAAGGTAATTTTATACTGTCCAGAGATCCTTCTGCTTCTGTTGTAGAAATGAAGATCGAACCAAGCATTCCAAGCAAATTTGTTTAGTTGGGTTGCGGTTTGTCTTGGAAGAGCTACTAGAGTGGTCATGCCAAAGAAACTTTCACATTCTTCATTTGGAGCCCCTGTAGTGGTGTTGTTGATGAAGTATCAACTTCATGGTCGGGGCTGGGGAGGAAGTATGTGTATATATACACTAATTGTATTGTGTGCATTTCATCCTTGTTAATATGTATTCCTTTTGTATATACTTCTTTTTAATAATACGAAGCGAATTCATAATATTTTTTCTGTCTCTCTCTGGAGTTTTGGGTTGGCGTTCTCTCTCTCTCTCTCTCTCTCTCTCGAGTTGGGGGGTAGTGTAGATAGACTTGTTGACAATTTCATGGTACACATAGAATCCCACCTCATTTAACACCATATTTTGTGTTGTGATATTAATTTTGTATTGAGTAGCATCCGATGGAAGACAAATTATAATTTCTGGTAAGGCTGCATGTTGGGTGCTTGAAGAATGGTCAGGTCATGTGGTACTGGGGCAGCTATTTTGAATCAAACTTCAACTTTAAGAAATTGGTGATTATATTAATCATGTTTTCCGAGTTTTTTTTTTTTTAAAACAGAGGATTCGTAACTCTTCGGATGTATGTTAAACACGAATTGATGGAATGGATATTGCAATTAAAATGTATGATCAACATTGGTGTTGTATAGTAAGGCAATCTTTTACAATAAACACTAAATTACTATTCCAATCTTTGAGTTTTTTCCAGCATCAAAGGAGAAACAGTATCAGTAGACATATATAGCTCATGACTAGCTTCTTATTTGTTTCAGCATGTGTATATACTCATTGTATTATGTACATTCCATCTTTGATTATATGTTTGCTGAGTTTTGATACGAAGGAAATCCAGAATATATTCCTCTCTCTCTCTCTCTCTCTCTCTCTGTTTTGAGATTCTCATCACATTATACTGCTGGAAATACATTAGATTCAGGGAGAGAAATTTTGAGAACAGATGATCCCCGACCCTTTTGGATATATATGTTAGGCACGAATTGATGGAATGGATATTGATGCATGTCATATTACCAAATTCATATAGATTTTGCTTTTGACACAACAATCGCTCTCTCTGAAACAGGTTGCTATCAAAATGTATGATCAGTATTTATGTTACATAGCAAGCCAGCTTTTACAATAAAATATAAATTTTACTATTCCAATCTTTTTGAGTTTTTTCCAGCATTAAAGTAGAAACAATACAATATCAATACATAAACTGGAACTATAAAACTCTGATTTGAATAGGACAAGCTTCTTATTTGTTTCTGAGTTTGTGCTTCAATTTGTCTTTGGTTCTGCTGCTGCTGCTGATTCAATCACGATTTCCTGCACAAACAAATTAATAGTTCTTCTATGAGTTTGTGATAGATTTTCTTTAAACTTAATGCTATGGTTGATTCTTGGATTTATTTTGGAATAATATAGTTTAGCAACTTGATGCGTAAGACCTGGTACCTGATTAGCACTTGGAGTTTTTTCCTGTCCAGTGGTGCTAGCTGTGGCAACAGCAGCGGCTGCAGCTTTTGGTTCAATGGTTGCTGGCGCTGCTTTGTCAACTTTCTCTTCGTTCACCTTCACGGACTCTACTTTCACAGGCTCTACAGCTGGAGCTTCCATTCAGTAGTAGCTTCTGGTTCAATGGTTGCCGGAGCCACATCTTTGGCTTTCTCTTCGTTCACTTTCACGGGCTCTATAATACCTACACAAATTGTAAAAACACATTACATATCATAATCCTACTATGCACAATGGTGAAATAGGATTCATGTAACTAGCTAACCGAGTATTGAGTTAATGCTTGTTTTGGTATTATCTTATTACTTTTTTCTTTTTTTTTTTCGTTTTCTACATTTTTAAAGACAAAAACAATGAAAATTTTGTGAACACTCCAAGTTTCATTTTTGCATGACAATAATTATAAAAAAATTCGAAAATATATATATATTTTTAATTGTTCACCAAACAAGGTTTTTATATTTTTTGAAAAACGAAATCAGAAAACAAAAAGCAAGAGGTTTTGCTTGGTTGGCAATTCTTCGTCAAACAATTTCTATGTTTTCTAAAACTTAAAATCACAAAACAAGAAAACAAGGTTTTGTTGAGTCGAGGTTACAAACCATTCTCTGTTACCGTTTTCACTTCTTCAACCGATCCCTTCTCCTCCACCACATTCTTTGATTTCTCACTCTCCTCAGAAACATCAACCTTGTTGGAAACAATGGCCTCAACGGTGTCAACCGTCTTTGAGTCTTGTTTCACCTCTTCCACACCCCTCTCCTCAATCTTCTCCTTCGAATCTTTCTTATCATTATCTCCTTCCTTCAAATCTACAACAGTTGCAACATCTTTCTTCGAGTCACCATTTTTGCTTTCTCCTTTCTCACCCTCTCCTCTTTCTTCTTGTTTTACTGGTGAGACGTTGTTCTCCTTTGCATCTTCGCTTTCTTCTTTTTGTTGTTGCACCGTTGTGTTCGTGTCGTTTGTGACATTCTCGGGGATGGTTTCTACATTTGTGTTCTTGTTGCTCTTGCTTTTGCTAATGGTATTCCCCGCGGCAACATCGTGCTTCGATTTCCCACAACCCATTTTTCAGAGCTGTGAGGTGGAGAAAGAGGAAGAAGAATTTTCTCCCCTTGTTTCAAGGAGAGAGAGAGAGAGAGAGAGAGGAGAGAGAGAAATGAGACTTTTTTTGTTGCTCTAATTTGGTTTATGAAGAAATCTTGGTTTGCATGGGAGTTATTTATTGGGTGGGTTGTATATATAGTCGAAGAGGGGCCGTTGGTTTTGGTTGTGTTTTAAAGGTTGAGATTTGTCTATTTTTGGCATATATATGAATGTGAATTGGAGGGGTTGGGGTTGTATTTTTAGACAAAGTGAAGAGGGTAGTTTAGACTTTAGAGAGAGGTGAACATACATTGTTGGCATTTGGACTTATTAGCTGGATTTTTTTTTTTTTTTTTTTTTTTTTTACCACCCATTCGGCCATAGGTGATTTTTTTTTTTTTTTTTGACTCTTTTCATTGATGATACCTCTTAGGCAAATCCTATTACCAACTAATATATTGTTTTATTTGAATTTTTGAATATATAAGGAAAAAAAAAATGAGATCAATTCACAAATTCAATAATGTATTGCTATTTTATTGTGATAATTTTTTTTAAATTTTTTTTTGGAATATAAGCTTTATTATCAAAATAAAATGTATATAATAAAATCAATTGAAACTACTTAGTTAATCTTAAAAGTCAAGCTAGTAACTTTCTAATAAGAAACACAAGTTTTGGGAGATTATTCCAAGGATTGTTATGCTATCAACAATTAAAAAAGATTTATGTCAACATATTTTTATTTTAAATTAAAAGGTTTTTAAGAAAAAAATTTTGAAACTTAAAATGACATGATAGTTATAAATAATTAATTTTAAATTCTATTGATGTAGTTACAATCTTAACAAATGAAATGAAGGTAGTCAGAAATGATTATATAATATATATAGAATATATATACATATATAAAATATGGTATTGCTGAATTTAACAAACTAAATTAACTTGTAAAATTGAATGGATATAGTATCAAACAAAGAAATATAGTAATAAATAATGTGATTTTAAGACATAAAAAGAAAAGAAAAGAAAAGAAAAGAAAAGAAAAATGAATAATAATTTAAGGATATATATGACAACTATATAGGAATGTTGCCGGCTGGTACAGAGATATTGTTGAAAGTTCCGCTAAGCGGCTCTCTGGCTATATGTTTTTAGTCCTTTTCTGCTTGCGGGTTTTTTTTTTTTTTTTGAAAAAAAACACATTTTGTTGAAGAAAACTTTTTTCAACCAAAATGTTTTATTGTTTAGTTGTGACTCGGAAAATGATGATTCTTTTCTTTTTACAAAACTGTATTATGTTTAATTATAATCTTAAAAATGATGATCCTGGTAATTATGATCATGCTGGTATAGGTGGTTGTAGTGGCTATGTGATGGCAATAGTAGTGGTATGGTAGTGATGATGGCGTGGGTAAGAACCTAATATTTGCTTCCTCATTTGAAATTTAGAAAATATTTTTTGGCCAAGTTAGCTCATTTTCCATTAATCTAAAAAATATATATAATAATACAAATTTTCTTTTGGACATATGTATTTGATAGTCCAACCAATTAGGTATGTATTAAATTTAGACTAGAGTTTTTAGTTTTGTTTGTTTTTGGAGTTATATTCTATAAATTGTTTTTCAAGCCAACATAATACAACAATATAAATTCTCACCATCTTCGTTGCCTAAACTTCTCCTTTCTTTTTTGTTTTAAGTTGATAAAAATAGAAGAATAGAAATAGTAGAAAGCTCATTTCCTTTTTGTTAAGTGGTATCAGAGCTTGGTGAAGAGTTTTTGAAAACAAGATCAAGCTATGTAAGTATTTCAATTTATGTATAAATTTTGATTAGTGTGTTTGGAGTGCTTTATGATATATATATATATATATATATAAATTAGAAAAATATTATCAATCAAGTTTAGTCTTTAATTGTGTATTCTTTGTATTTTATATCTTCATAATTATTTGTTTTATTTGTAATTGTTGTAAAAACCTATATACTTAATGTATGTCAAAACTCATATACTCATTAAGACCTTTTGACTATTAGCCATAATTAGGCATTTTTAAGTTTTTAAGATCATAAAGAGGGGTTTTAGGCACCAAATAACTACAGTAGAAGGGTCTTAGATACCAATAACAATCTATAATGACAATTAACTTTGAAGATATAATATGTTTTGAAAATACAAAAAATAATATTAATAATAAATATGACCATACAGTTTGCATATTACTAAAAAATTTGCAAATATAAATAGTGTGTTATAGTTTAAATACTATTACTCATATTATGTGTTCTTGGTTTTTTAAATTAGATAAAAATAAAAAAATAATTCAAAATTATTTAGAATACAAAGTGGAGTCTATAGAATCTGAAATAGACAATTTAGGTTTTATAATAAATATTGACTTAAACAAAGAAGCAAAAACCCAAATAAACAATTTGGTAATAAAATTAGAAATTATATCTTTCATAAACAATGATGGAATGAATAGTACAGGAGATAACTCTATTCGTAAGCTATTTTATGGTACATAAGATATTCTGGTACTTCAAACCAATACCTATAATAGGACTGAATATGAAAATATTGTTGAAATATTGGATTATTGGAGAAAATTATATAAAGATCCAGATTTAGGTATTGATGGAAGAAATAGACTACTAGATTAGATAAGAGAAACTTATCTAGAACATGAAACCCTTTTACAGTACTTTAATTATGATATTAATATGTCAACCAATGATGATGATAGCCAATCATCCCCATCTCAAGAAACATTAGATCAAGATGTTTCACTAGAAATAAATAAAAAGAAAAAAAGGCAGAAGAGCCAATTGATCCTAAATTATTTGGCATATGGGGGAGATGGAGAAAATTTTGACTTTATTCAAACAAATGAAGTACAAAATGATAGTAACACTGGAAGTACCTCCAATCTTACACCTGAGCCAATAATATGTAGAAAAGATAATAATCATAAGTATGCAATAGTTCAAAATGATACTTATTTAGACTTGTCTCATGTTCCATTTAAGGATTAGCCACAAGCAATTGATGATTGGGCACAACCATTGTTCATCATTATTACCAATTATAAAAATAGTTGGTCAAATGAAAAATTCCTTGATTATATTGCAGCAACTCTTTAGGGAGATGTGTTGCAATGGTTAAGACAGTGGGAAAAATCTGAAATTGAAAAAAGTCAAAAAACAACTCTGTTGGCAAATTTTCTCACATTTGATACAGTATTAGCTGAGTTTGCAAAAATTATAAAAGAAAATTTATGTGGTTTTGTAGGAGATATTAATTTGCAAGTAGATGCAAATTATATTTTGATTAAATTAGAATTATGTAATATTTGTCTTTTTGAAGATTATGTTCAAACTTTTAAAAAATATTATTATTTTGTTGATCCACTATCAAATCAACCCTAGTTAGATCAATTTTTTCATAAACTCCCTAATCCTTGGGATGACTTATGTTTTAAAACATATTCTGACTTTCTCTTCCTCAAAAAAATGGGGAAAGAAGAATTGGATAATCTTGGTTTTTGCATTAATTATGTTTTAAGACTGATAGCAGATAGATCAGTGTCTAGAAGCAAAAGTGAAAAAATAAATAAAAAATCAATTTTGCAACTCACAATATGATAAAAAATGTTGTGATAAAATTTTGAAAGAAAAATGGAAAATTGGTTGTAATACATTTCCCATGCGAAAAAGATTTTTCAAAAAATGCAGAAAATATAAATGGAAATCTTGGAAAAAGAACAAAACTTTTTCAAAAAAGAAAAAGTATATTTGAAAAAAGAAACCAACAAGTGTTTCAAACAAGAAAGTTTATAAATGTTATATTTGTAACGAAGAGGGTTACTATGCACTCGAATGTCCAAAAAGGGAAAAAAGTGCAAATAAATTGATCAAAGTTCTTGAAGAGCAAGATTTTTAAATAATATATGGTGAAGAAATTTCTGATGAAGAATAAATCTTGTATGAAATTTCTAGTGATGAAGAAAGTTCTGATGAATAATTAATCTCCATGATAACTAATATGAATAGTCGAGAAATATCTCAAGAAGCATATAGTATATCTCAAGAAGAATTACAAGCAATTCGAATTGGAGATGTAATCGGAGAAGAAAATTTTTTTACCGAAGAAGAATTAGAAAAATTTGAAAAAATGAAAGAAGTTACTGTTCAAAAAATTTACAAACTTTCAAAATTCAACTTCTTTTCAGCAAGAGTGTTTGAATAATACAATGGTAACACTCAAGCAAAATAGTCAGAAGAAAGAAATATTGATATTCCTTTTTTTGATAAGAAAAAGGTTGCTAGATGGAAAAAAAAAAATCTTGGAATTCAATATATTCAAATTGGATTAATACAGGTAACCAACTGTCGCTGAACTCTATCCACCACCCCATTCCACACTCGAGTCTCCTTAAACGAAACCCCCAAGGGAAGACCCAAATAGGACATTAGCAACCTTGCCACCTTGAAGCCTAAGACGGCTGTCAACACCAGCAGACGAGCAACCTCACCCACTGGAATCAATTATGACTTTGCCAAATTAACCCGTAGCCCTGACACCGCTTCAAAACATAACAAAACATAGCGCAAAGTAGCTTCCGCATCAGAAAAAATTAATGCATTATCAGCGTAAAAAAGCTAAGAAACCACTAGAGAGGCAAACCCCTCCCCTACCTCAAAACCCGATAATAAACTCCCATGGGCTGCCCTAGAAAGCAATCGGCTCAATGCCTCCATAACTAAAATAAACAATAATGGGGACAATGGGTCGCCCTGCTGTAACTCCAAGTGGGGAAAAAACCAGCTGGTGTCCCATTAACCAGCACAGACATCTGAACAGTGGAGATACAAAAATGTATCCACCTTCTCCACCGTTCCCCAAAATCTATCCTCTCCAACAAATTCAAAAGAAACTTCCAATTGACATTATCATAAAACTTCTCAATATCCAACTTACATATGTAAGACTTCAAATTATAGTTACTAGAGATATGTAATGTTCACTATGTTGTTTGCTCTTGTTTTCTCATGTTATTCATTTTTTTAACTAGTTGACTTAGTTTTTTGAGATTCCACTCTGTATATCTAAGCTCCTTTGCTCTCAAAAACTTTGATTGAAGTTATTGATTTAGTTTTTTTGTATTGAAACGGTACGAAAATTGAATGTTGATTAAGATTATTTCATGTGGCTGTACTTTGCAATCATGTACTTGATTCTAGTAATGTGGACAAGGATAACTCGCTAATATTTACACTTACAGGTGTACATGTCAGATTTGACAGAACTGTTTACTTGGACATGCTCAAGATGTGATGATCTGACTGAGGTATGATTTCTATTGACATCACTTTTTTCTCTAATTGAAAGAATAACCTTTTTTAGCAATAAGATGTTTCGTTGTTGCTGCTTTTGATTCTTGGTTATTGTCAGTGATGGTTTCTTCTTGTTTGAAGCAGGGATTTGAAGTGATAGATAGATATAATTTTTGATGTCAAGCACTGCTTACAGGTTCATTTTTCATAGCATACATGCTAAAGAAGAGCAAATTTTCTCTGGCAAGATTCATTTACATCATGCTTCTTGTTCTTTGTGCTATAAATCTTGACAATAATTATGAATATGCATTGCAGGAATTTGTTGGGATGGCTAAGGATCTTAACGCTATTGTGATTGCTTTCAGAGGCACTCAGGAACGCAGGTTTGAAGACGCTTGCGGCCTTAAATTATTATTTTTTTTGCTCTCTCATTTCTTTCATGCATTATTCTGATCTTGGTGGCTTGGATTGTGTAATGTGTCTCATTAAGTTGTTATAAATGTTGATTACATGTCCTAATGTCTCAAGAGGAGATTTATAATGTTTCAAGATACAAAAAGCAATGTTAGTTTTACTTTATTAGGGAAATCTTCTTCTTGCCATCAATGGCCATTTGTTCATTACTGTTTAAAGAATCAACAACAATGTGTACAGCTTACAGAATTGGATTGAAGACCTGTACTGGAAGCAACTCGACTTAAATTACCCTGGCATGCCTGACGCAATGGTGTGTTGCAATAAACTTTGACTGGATACATGAATAAAATGTTAGTTTTACTTTATTACGGAAATCTTCTTCTTGCCATCAATGGCCATTTGTTCATTACTGTTTAGAGAATCAACAACAATGTGTACAGCTTACAGAATTGGATTGAAGACCTGTACTGGAAGCAACTCGACTTAAATTACCCTGGCATGCCTGACGCAATGGTGTGTTGCGATAAACTTTGACTGGATACATGAATAAAAGTTTCTTTTTCGAAAAAGAAAAATGGTGGGTCAATACCATTCAGTCTGTTTGTTCTGAGTTTTTTAGATTAAATTTTTTGAAAGTTGAATTTTTTGGTTTTTGTATTTTTTTTGTTTTTAGTGAATATTTTTAAAATTTTAAACATTTTTTTTTAATGTACTGAATTCTTGTATTTTTTTTTTGTATTTTTGGTATTTAGTGAATTTTTAAAAGATTTTTTTTACAATTTTTTTACTTTTTAGATGTATTTATGTTAGGTATGTCTAAAAAGTAAAAAAAAATACTTAAAATATTAAAAAAATTCAGTAAAAAAAAAAACACTAAAAATAAGAAAGTAAAATTTTTTAAAAAGTATTTTTAAAAAAATGGAAGCAAGCAAGCTGATTGTTTTTAATGCCATTTCTGTTTTTTCAGGTGCATCATGAATTTTATTTTGCTTACCACACCACAACTGTACGTTCTGGTGTTGTAAATGCTGTTAAAAGGGCGAGGCAATTGTATGGGGACATTGATATTATGGTTACGGGTCATTCAATGGGAGGGGCTATGGCCGTCTTTTGTATTTGATATTTTTTAAAGTTGTTTTTACAAATATTGTACTTTTTAAACGTATATAGATTAAGTGCATCTAAAAGATAAAAAAATTGTGCAAAATATGAAAAAATTAACTAAAAACAAAGAAAATGGAAAACAAAAAATTTAATTTCCTAAAAAGTGAACTTAATTTTCTAAAATCAAATATGATAATTTATTTAAATTCTCAAAACTTTTTTTGGAACAAATTTTTTTCTTTGACAGTTAGGAAGTGGTGGTGTTATAGAAGCTGACAAATTTCCTTTTTGTATTATATATTTATATATTATTTTTTATGGGAACAAACAAGAGTGCTCATAATATGTTGTTTGTATCATTTGTGCCGCTTGCTTTAGACCATATAGTTAAGCAAGCAACGACACACAAATTACTAGCAAAGTGCTAAAGGCTTACACAATGAGTATTTAAGCATAAACCTGCCAACGAATTGGTTTTCATTAGTTAGGTTGTCTCTTTCTCAACCACATATACTTATTAAATAGCATGCTTCCATTGCATTGCATGGCATGACATCACTTGCTCATATTCTCAATTTCTTCGAGTTGTTTCTTTTGGATATAGGGCGGGTTTGTTTTCAGAGGGAAGTTGGGTGGAATTATTAGTGTAAGAATTGTTAATGTATTATTAATGAAGAGATTAATGCAAATTATGGTGTCGTTCAGAAAGTGAGTTGGCTTTTTAGTTTTTTAATTTTTTTGACTATTTTAGCCTGGGACTAAAAAGCCTGGTTTGGAAATGACTTTTTGATTTTTTGACTTTTTTGTGAGGTGTCCACATGTTAAATGACCGAACTGCCTTCGGTAATACCTTTTCCACTCCTAGTCGGCTCATTCCTTCACGTCAACGTCATTATATTTTTTTATTTTTTATTTTGGATGAGGCGTATTAAATTGGAATTCTTTTTTTTTTAATTTATGTTTTTGTCATTTTTTTTTGTATACATTAATTTGTTTTTATTTTTCAAAAATGGTTTTTCATGTGTTTTATTTATTTTTAAATTATGTGGCAAATGCTAATTTCGTTTTTAATTTTTTTTTTGGATGAGGCGTATTTTTGTGGTTCTTTTTTTTTTTAATTTACGTTTTTGTCATTTTTATTTTTATTTGTATACATTAATTTGTTTTATTTTTCAAAAATGATTTTTCACGTGTTTTATTTATTTTTAAATTACGTGGCAAATGTTAATTTCTGTTCTTAATTTTTTTTTGGATGAGGCATATTTTTGTCGTTCTTTTTTTTTAATTTATGTTTTTGTCATTTTTATTTTTATTCGTATACATTAATTTATTTTTATTTTTCAAAAATGGTTTTTCATGTGTTTTATTTATTTTTAAATTACGTGGCAAATGCTAATTTCTGTTCTTATTTTTTTTTTTTTTTTGGATGAGGCGTATTTTTGTGGTTCTTTTTTTTTTAATTTACGTTTTTGTCATTTTTATTTTTATTTGTATACATTAATTTGTTTTTATTTTTCAAAAATGATTTTTCATGTGTTTTATTTATTTTTAAATTATGTGGCAATTGCTAATTTCTGTTTTTAATTTTTTTTTACTTTGTTTGTTTTTTTTGGGAAAAGGTTTTTTTTTTTACTTTGTGTGTGGTGATGCGATGCCCCTCTCAATCAGGTTCATGTGGGGGTAGTTTGGTAAATTTACCATGGCTTGGGTTGTTGCTAAGCACGTGACAAGCTTTTATCTCCATTTGGCTAATTTAGCCTTTTTTGTCCGATAGTGGCTAAAATAGCCCAAACTTGTCTTGCCAAACGGAGCTTATATTTATTTATGTACTAGTACTGTGATATTAATTGGTTAGAACTAAATATATGAAATTACGTAAAAATACTTATTATATAAAATATAATTTTGTTATCTTTATAAAATAGAGGTTAAAATTACATTTTCCCCTCCAATTCTCCAATCTTATAGAATTATAATTCCTATTCCACCTCCCTTGTAGGATTGTTAATCCCCTCCCTGGAGGGTATTAATAGCCCCAAGAGCCCACTAGTCCAAAGGTCTTTGTTCAAACCAAATACAACTTTTGTGGGATCCATCCATGGGATTACCACTAGTCCAAAGGTCTTTGTTCAAACCAAATACAACTTTTGTGGGATCCATCCATGGGATTACTAGTCTAATCCCATAGCCTTTGGACTAAAATAAACAGGCCTAAGGGTTTTTATTTTATTTTATTTTATTTTATTATTATTATTTTATATATATATATATATATACTATATTTGCAAGGACAAATTGAATTAAAATATATACTATATTATTTTATAGTATTTATATATATACTATATTTTTATTTTATGGTATTATATATATAACAATCTTCATATCCTAAAATTGTGAATTATCATGATATTCACAAATAATAATATAATGTGGAAAATAAATAACATACTCGGATTAGTTATGCAAAACCCTCAAGTGATTTATAATTGATTGAACATAAACATAATAATAATATTAGTGGAAAAAAAGTTTCTCTCTCTTGACCCTTTTGAAAATACGTTATATTTAGAATAATTGATGGGTGATCTAAATATACTTTTATAGGTAGAGAGAGGACTAGTGTCCTAATATAACTATAACTTCACGTGTCCATCAAAGTAGGAGATTTGAAACATACTCCATCTATTGGCCAATCAGATAATAATTTATGGTTCAAGATATAGTTCATATTGCCATATCATATGGGTTACCATAATGGCTAAATAATTAAATTTAGTCTTACATTCCCCCACTTGGCCCATATGATAAGATACATCAAGATTTAATAAGGTAAACATTAGGTGCACAATAAATCATATCAAACTTTACTTTAATTTAGTCATCATCATCATAATACTATAATTAAATAGTCCACTAATGCGAGTCATGGAGGTTCTACACCAAAATATAGTGTGACATATTTACTTCCATGTATCACAACACAAGCAATTAGTTTAATATAATCCTTAAGTGAGGAGTGTATTTAAAGGTCCAATAATTTCTTTTTATCAAATACTATTTATGTTATTATTCATTCATTCTCATATATGTACGTATACCATTCATGATAGGAAATATATCAGAAACACAGTTAATGAGATCTCAATGTGTCAACTTACAATCATAAATAACTGTTATGGATTACATTCAAGACCCATTCAACTGACAAGTTTTTTTAATTGTCTTTAAGAGTAATCCTTTCATCAATACATCTGCACTTAAAAGTTATGCACTTATGTGTTTTATTAACACTTTCTGTTTTTGAAAATTTTCTTTTACGACAAAGTATTTCAATTATATGTGTTTAGCATCATTAGAATACTTGAGATTTTAAGAAAATAAAACAATTGTAAAATTATCACAATAAATTCTCAACGACTTGGCAACAAAAGTTGACAATCCCAAGTCATGAGATAAAGTTTCGCAATAACAATTCATGAATTGCGGTCTCAAAGCACACCACAAATTCAACTTTTATAGAGGATATTTATGATAGTTCGCTTTGCACTTTTCTTAATATTGCTCCTTCACATAATAGAAACAAAGAACCAAAAGTGAATTTTCTTCTATCAAGATATCATCTAAAGTTTGAATCTAAATAGCCAATTAATTCAAGATTATCAGACTTAATAAATGTGAGCAAGTAATCTTTTAATCCTTATGATTACCTCATCACTTCCTTATTTGAGTATTAAGTTTCTTATAATAAATGTATAAAGAATCGTTTCCATTCCAAAAAAATTTCCATAAGTTGGATTTCCTTTCGAAATGGGGATAACTTTATGTGAATATTTAGGGTTGCACAGACCGCTCGAGTGAAAGAATGGTCGCTATAGTGGTGAGCCTAGAATGCGCGCGCACACAAGTGCCTTCGCTCGAGCCACTGAACGTGCGCTTGAGCAGAGAAAGCGAGCTGTCAAAAATTTTGCAGAGGGCTTAAAGTACTAAGAGCAAGGATTCTTTACTCGAGCAATGAACTGATCACTCGAGCGGTCTAAGAGAAAACATAGGACAAAGTTTACATTTGAAAAGTGATTGTTCGCAGAATTGACAACACAAGAGACCTAATAGAATAGATAATTGTAAAGAAAAAATTGATAATCGATGGATACAATGCGACCTTTTCTATTGAGGTTAAATTTTTTTATAACAAGTAAAAAAGTCAAATTCTCAAACAACCTGTAACTCTACAACTAA